TTAAAAAAATCAAACTAGTCATTTTTATCAATGTTATGTTCATAGTCCAGACATTCTTTAATGCTAACAGAGTAACAGAGACAATCCTCTTCCAATAAATACAATCATGACATCTCTGTAGCAAACCTATTTGCTTAGGCCCAGCCAACTGTAGATCTGGGAACAATATACTGTAATCACCACAAAAAAATAAAATAAAATAAAACCTTCAGCAGACCAGATAAAATGACAAGTATCTGACTTGGCTGGTTCTCAGAAGCTTGAGTCTCAGAGAAATCTATCAAACAAAAGACTCCCACAGGATAGTTGTACTCAGGAGGAGATGGAAGACACAAGCACAAGAGGTTTTAAAGTTCTTGAATCTTTCAACACTAGTTGGCACCATTGTCAAAGTTCTACCGATTTTCAAAAGCCATATATCCCAAACTTTACTTGAAAGAAATGAGAAAAATTCCCCTTTAACACCTGAATAAACCCAGCAACCGATGCTACTGTTTTTAAATACAGTGCAGTAGAGGATAGGTAGAAAGAATACATAATTTTTTCTTGTTATTCTTAAGAGTTAGAGATTCATGAAAACAAGAAAAAAAAAAAACGTACAAACCAATATCCTAGTTATACTTACTACTATGAATCAACTTTTAATATCAACTGAGACTCAAAAATACTGGTGTTATAGAGCATTTTATTACATTTCTTCATATAAATTATAGTTTCATAATAAATTTTAATTTTTTATCTTCTAATGGCTTTTTTTGGGGGGGGAGGGTCCAGTCATGGGGCCTGAACTCTGGGCCTAGGCACTGTCCCTCAGCTCTTCAGCTCAAGGCTAGCACTCTACCACTTAAGCCACAGCGCCACTTCCGGCTTTTTTCTTTTTGCTTATGTGGTGCTGAGGAATCGAACCCAGGGCCTCAGGCATGCAAGGCAAGTGCTCTACCACTGATACAACTTCCCAGCCCCTCTTCTAATGGCTTTTTATAAAATACTATGTGTGTATGTCTTCGTGCGTGTGTGTGTGTGTGTGTGTGTGTGTTTGTGCATACACTGATGCTAGAGTCTGAACTCATGGCCTTGGTTCTCATTTGATTTTCTTCTTCTTACTCACAGCTGGTACTCTACCACTGGAACCATGCCCTAAAGGAGAGCCTCAAAGACTTTTCTTCCATGGCTAGCTCCAAATCATGATTCTTCAGGTTTCAACCTCCTGAGTAGCTATGGTTAAAGGCATGGGACACTAGCACCTGGCTCAAATATATATATGGATCCACAGATTCAGTCTGACCTTAACTTTCACATTTTCCATCAAGATTCTAAAATCAACATTAAAAATTACTATCCATCCTTTTGGTATATGCTATATCACTTAGAAAATGTTTGTTACACAAAACCTGATTTGTTATTTTAATTCTCCAGAGTAATCATAAGACATCTTGTTATTCATAATGTACATAATAAGTATTAATTTGTGAAATGTGCCTTGTAGGATGATCAAGACTTTCAGAGAGATGCAACGTTTCTCCTTTCCAACTGCTGAAATCTCTACAAGTTACAATAAAGCATTTCACCACATTACCATGGCCAGCCTCTCAACCAGAGTGGAATTGTTATCCTTTTTTTTTTTTTTTTTTTTTTTGGGGGGGGGGGGGGAGTTGGACGGTGGTTGTCAGTTGTGGGGCTTGAACTCTATGCTTGGGCGCTGTTCCTGCCTGCTCTCTTCAGCTCAAGGCAAGTAATCTACTACCTGAGCCACAGCACCACTTCCTGTTATCCATTTTTTAAACTAAGATTTATTAACCCAAAGAATGGACACACACACACACACACACACAGGCTAAAACAGTAGGCCACCTGACACACACACACACACACACACACACACACACACACACAGGCTAAAACAGTAGGCCACCTGACACACACACACACACACACACAGGCTAAAACAGTAGGCCACCTGACACACACACACACACACACAGGCTAAAACAGTAGGCCACCTGACACACACACACACACACACACACACACACACACACACACACACACACACAGGCTAAAACAGTAGGCCACCTGTTAGATCCAGTCCACAAGGGAATTCTTGCTGGAAGCACAAGAGAAAAACCCCCACAGAGGATCTTAGAGGCAGACAGTTGCTTCAGGGAGAGAGTGGAGCACTGGGTGGGTCCCCTCCAACCTCAGTCTGACCAAGTGATAAAAAAACAATCAAGAGAGGAGGGGGAAAAAAAGCACCTTCCGCCCCGCCCCCCCTAGCAGCAAATGAACTGCTGCTAACCTAGGATAGCTGCTTACAACATGGACCTTGTACCTTACTAAAGGATCCACAGCAAGTGAAACTGAAATGGACAACCCAGAGAAAATACTGTTCTAGACACATTACCCTCCTAGATACCAACAGTAACATTTAGTGATTGACTACACTGGCTCTACTCAAATGCAGGAAATCAGTACCCAAAGTTACCAACAAAATACACTACAACACATTGTTGCTATGTTTGATGTTGCCATCAAATTAAGGCACAGTTTAAAGTAGTTTAAAAAAAAAAAGAAAGAAAATAATCAACTCATATGCTAGATTGCTGTGCTGTGTAATGGTTTTCATTATAATGTTTAGCTATGAAGTAAGCTAGAAGATATTCTGGGAAGATATAAATCTCTAGCATGGTTTCAGAAAAAGGACCACATCCTTTATGCTTTCATAATAAAAGTTCCTTTCAAAATGAAGGTATCAGAGAACAATATTCTTTATATTTTGTTATCAGGCCTTTCTACAGGCAGACTAGGGCGTAACCCATAGACAAAGGTCAGTATAGTGGTAGAAAGCCTAGACTCTAAAGGTTGCCTATTAAAATCCCAGGCGTTAGCTGTGTGACCTGGGAAAGATAATCTCTTTGTGCTTCAATTTCCACAACTTCTGGGTGGTGGTTGTGGAAACCAGGCCTCTCATGTAAGAAACCCATGCTAATAATATCAGATAATTGAGTGTCAAGCTTAGGAAGGGATTACAGAGTCTATCCACTTGGGGAGTCAGTATCCTACTATCCTAGCTGAGTACCTGCTTCCTGTAGTAAAAATCGAGCAGTGACAATCTGAGAAAGGCAACATTAAGTACCAAAAGCTCTACCTTCCAAACCATGTTACCCGGCACACAAAACCTACACATGCCGGCTCCTCTCCAGCAGCCAGGGCTTCTTCCCTTGCATGCTCTGCACTTTAAACAGAGCTTAAGTGCCTCACAGAGTACTGAGGGATAGATATTAAAATACTGGAATTAACACTGTCTGAGAATTCCCAGTAACTGAATGAGTCACTTCTTTAGCAACAGAGTAAAATGTCAAGGTTGCCAGAGAACCCCATGCAGATGTTTTCATAAATCATCTGCAAGTGATCACCAAGCCAAAGCTAAAGGACATTATTCAAGACAACACTTTCAGTGAAATAGATCTGTTTTTAATATTTTTTTTCCTGTAATGAAGAAAATTCTGAAAATGAGGTAGGTTACTGGGAGGAGAGGTTGGAAATCACAGGGAGTTTAACCACCAAGTTATACAACATGTCAAAGGTTAGAACTGTTCCTTGCTCTGGAGCAAGAGTCAGTCAAACTGTTTTCTCTAGCCTTATCAAAAGGCAGTAGGCAAACTCTAAGTTCAAGTTTAAAAATCAGCCCGCAGCCCTTACATTTTGTTTCTCAATACCAGAAGCAGAAACTCTATAGAATCTGAAACATTGCCTTGCAGCAATCGTTTTAACACTGCTACCGACAAAATCTTTGCACGTTCTGTATTGACAGTAAAAGGCATAAAAGAGTCTTTTTCAACTTTCATATTATTTAAGTAAAGTTTGTATTTGCATGTCAATCAAATCTAAGCCATTTGTCCTGGTACTACCGGATGAAACCCTGCGGGTATTTTCAGCCACTTAAACTGTCACACAAGGGGGGAAAAAATGAAAACATGGACTTGATCCACCTCATAGGTTTTTCTATCTGTTCGTCTACGGATAGGCTAGCTTGTCAGCACGTGTGTCCTTCAGATGGATTCATCACAGAGCACAGTCAGTGGTAAAAATCTACAAACACTCCCCGCACCCGCCGTGCTGTACCCATAAAAGCAGAACCGATTGTGATTTTTTTTTTTTTTAAGTAACTTCACATAAAAGACTTTTCAGATGGGTCGTTTTCTCAACTCATTTTCCCAATTTGATCTGCGGGCACAGGACTGAGCGCCCCACAGCTTCCGGCAGGAGAATAGCACGCGGTTTCCCCACCAGCTCCCCACCCCAGAAACCTCACAAACGCGATGTAATAATAACAGCTGAAGAATGATGACGACACTAAAACCAACCCCACATCGCAGCGGGTAGAAACACCAAATCAACTTTTGTCTCTTAAGTGTCACAGAGGATAAAGAAGCGGGGCGCCGAGGAGGGGGCGAGGGAGGGGAAGAGAAGGAAATAAAACGGCCAGGTGGGATGTGTTTGAACAATTTCCGGGACCCAGTGCGCGCCAGGGGTCTGGGCTGGTAGGCGCAGCTCAGCCCGGGGTAAGCCGAAGGGTTACCCAAAGCTACACCCAAGCTGTGCAAGTCAAGGGACACCTCCTGCTCCCCGCCGCACTCCTCGCCAGCAGGGGCCGAAGGCCACTTCCACAGTCCAGGTCTCAGTGCGGGAACATGGCCACTTCCATCCCCCCCCCCCCCCCCCCCGCAGCGGGCGCCTGCCCCCGCACGCCGCCCAGCAGTTTGCTAAGTCGACGCACCGGAGAAGAACCAGCCACGGAGCCGCGGCCCCCGGGGTGCCAGCGCCGCCGAACCTGGCTGCTGGATCCCTCCCCTCCTCTCAGGGACCCTCCTTAGGTTCGCCTCCACGCCGAAGGGGGCACACGGGAGGTGGAAGTCGGGGAGCAGCCGGTACCCGCGGCCGCCCCACACCCCCGCCTCCCGCGCCTCGGAGCCCCGCGCCCGGGGCTGCCAGGTGCTTACCTGTGGGAAGGAGCCCTCGCGGCGCGGGCTCCGAGGGTAGTCTAAGTGACCCCTGTCCAGCATCAGGTAGAGGGAGAAGATCACCACGCAGAAGATCGCGCTGCCAAACACGGTGAACTGCCGGCTTAACTTCATTTTCCTCGATAGACTCGGGGCCAGGACACCGTCCTCACCCGGAGGCGGCGGCGAACCGCGGACTCCAAGAAGCGGCCGCCAAAGGCTCCCAGCTCCCGGGCTGCGCCCAGTCCGTGCGCTCGGGCGCCAGCGCGGGTCCCGGCCGCGCTCCGCACCTTGTCCCCGGAGCCAGCACGAGCCCCCGGCTTTCGCTCGGGTCCGCTGCCCTCTCCGGGGCGGGTCGTCCCCCCTCGAGGCCGGGAACCGAGCCTCGCAAACTTGATCTCCAGCTCAGCGCCCAACACGCAGCCTGGCGCGCCCGGCAGCAGCCGGAGAGGTGGCTTCCCCGCACTTCCTGCTACCGCCGCCCCGACCGAGGAAAAGTTTTTTCTCGACGAGGGCAGGCGTGTCTGCCGTCACCCAGACCACGCGCGGGCTCGGCGGCCCCGGGGCGGACCGCGCTGAGCCAGGTCCGACCCGCGGAGAGAAGGAACTGGCTCTGGCGGAGCCGGGCCCCACAACTTAGCGCCGGGACAGCCGGGCCCGCCCCCGCCGCCCCGTCCCCGCCTTCCTCCCCGGCTGAGCCCCTTCCTGCTGCCGCCACCGCCCAGACCCGGCCGGGGCGCGCCCGGGGCTTCTGGGCGCACACGCTGGGGCGCCGGGGCGCTCGGATCCGGCTGGAGTTTCCTCGGGGTGCGCGTCCGCTCCCGGCCTCTCCCGCCCCCCGTCTCCGGCGCCGCCGCCTCTACCTTCTCCCCCCCCCCCTCCCCTCCAAGACCCGGGCAGTGCGGGGAGGGCGTAGGGGGCGGGCGGAGGCGGCGGCGGCGCGGAGAGGAGGGAAAGGAGAGGAGCGTCCCCGGAGAGAAGCCCGCTCCAGCTGCAACCGTGAGCAACCCCCTCCTTCCCGCCCCGAAAACGCGGAGATGGCGGCGGCAGCTGCGAAAGGAAGCGCCGGTTCTCCAGCGCCACTCGGCGCTCCGGCACCGCCTGCCAGGAGCCGGAGGAGGCGGCGGCGGCGGCGGCGGCAGCAGCAGCGGCGGCGGCGCGGCAGCCGCTGGGTCAATCGGCTCCCGCAGCCCGGGAGCAGGGCAGCCGGCTGGCCCCGCCCCCTCCCGACGCGCCGAGATGAGAGGGCGGGGCCCCGGGCACCCAATCAGGGTTCGCCGCCTGCCAGGCCCGCCCCGCGTCTGCCTCCCCTGGGCCCAGGCTATAGGGAGACCTCAGGAGGCTTCCGTGACCCGGGAGACTCCCCCGCACTTGAGGCTGGCAGTCATGGTCATCCAAGCACCAGCAGCCCACGTTCCATGGGAGCTGAGCTATTCCCATGTTCCTTCTGATGCCCAGGCTTTGCACCTTGGAACACCCAGATTAAGGGTGTCTTGGAAGGGTACAACCATGAAGGGCTGGAAGAGAAGAAAAACATGAAACCTGAGAATTCTGTTTAGTTTCCTCATTTCCTCCTTGGCTTTTTTGGTGACATGCCAGTAAAACCTAAGAGAAGAGAGCCTGGCAAAAGCCTATCTGGCAGATGTAGATGTCTGACTACAAAAATCTGCGTGGAGAATCAGAGAAATCATTCTGGTAGGGATTGTTGATTTATTGGGTCTCAGCTCCACATTCACCCTTTTTGACTGCACCATGAAAATGGATCTGGGCCTTTTAAGTAGCTTTGCCTTTGCCTTCTGGGACTGAAGCTTTGTCAGTAGAGGGTGCTGAAGAAACATTGCAAGAAAAAGGATTTCCACTTTCTGGTTTTGGTATGTTCAGTGGGCAGACACTTGCATACCAGGCTTTCTCCAGTCCCAACTTCCTGTAATACTTAGTATCCACCAGATCTATGGAAGGCAAGACAATACCACATTTATAGCTTTCCTGACACCCCAGAGATAATTTGCAGCACATACGAGGGCAGATTTTCAGGGTTTTCGAGTTTTTGTAGTAAGAGCACCACCATCTTGACTTCTCAGCTACTCAGTGCCAAAGTATGCTCTTCAATATGGGGTAGATCTTAGCTCCAGCAGAGATGAGGTAGAGATCTTTTTTGAGCCTTTTCTCACTTCGCTCAGAGGTTAAAGGCAACTATTAAGCCTATATTGTGTGAATCCTCATCTGGCTAGTGAATCCTTCTTTATCTAATCCCTTACTATCGTTAATAGTTCTTTTTAGTAAGGCTTTCCTGTCAAGAAGGAGCCCCAAGAAATAGAGCAGTAAAAATAAAATTTAAAACTCAATTTGATTGAGATTTTGGTCATGAGTTTCTTGCAAAGAGAAATGGAATGCTGATAATTTGTGGCATTCAGGTCATCTCGAAAGTAATCACCTGTGGATCAAGAAAATGAGTTATATTTATACAATGGAATTCTATGCCTCCATCAAAAAGAATGACATCACCCCATTTGTTAGGAAATGGAAAGACTTGGAAAAAATTATAGTAAGTGAAGTCAGGACCAAAGAAACGTAGGTTCCATGGTTTCCCTTATTTGCAATAACCAGTATAAGTCTAGGACAAGCAGAAAAGGTCAAAAGCTATGTACCTGTGACCACATAAGAGGATGTTAAATGAAATGAACCCCAAGATAGGGACGCAAGTGGCTTTTTTCTTTCTTGCTATTGTTTTTAACGTATTTAAAATGTACTGTGTGATTTTTTTTTGTTTCTCTTTTTTGTTTCTATGGTATAACTCCTGTTTTCACTGTATTTGATGTTGGTGCCCTGCATCTTGTATATGCATTTTTCTAATTTGGAGAGGGGAAGGAAAATAACAAAATTCTAAAATAAGGATACAGGTTGACCCATTGTAACAATGAGATGTACAAGACACTATGTTGAAAACAAACTTTACAACTTGCAGGGCGGGGGGTGATAGGGGGAAAACAAAGAAGGAGGTAACAAGGCTCAATAGAAAATGTACTCATTATCATAGTCATGTAGCTGTAGCCCCTCTGTACAGTATTTTTACAATAAAAATATATATAAAAGAGAAAGTAATCACCTGTAGTTGATGCTGATTAAGTGGCAACTGAGGTAATTGCCTTGAAGGCCCAGTTGGCCTGTTATACCTGACCACTTTGGTCTGTACAGGTAATCGTAACCGGACCTATAGAAGGACCATGGTGTGAAAAGAATCCTTAAAAGGCTTTTGAATGCATGTAAAGAAAAACAACAAGCACAGGTCCACTAAATCCCAAAGTTGCAGTGGGAATCAGAGAGACCTCATAACAGTTCTAAAAGAATCTCCCTTATTGTATCAACAGAATGATATTGCTGAAAATCAAATGCAACATTTTAATTTTCAGAATTCTGAGTTGTAATTACTGTTGAATTCAGACATGCCAAGTTCCTTTATGAAAGTTAAGGTATTAAATGGTAAATAATATGATTCAAAAACTTGGAATGCATTAAACACAGCTGAACTTGGCAGTCTTAAACCACTACCACCACCAACACCCTTCACTCTAAGTCTCTCAACCGATAGATGTAAGTTACTTTCCAATGTCTGAGGTCACGACTTCTCTCTGTTTGAAAGCTTTATGACAATTCACAAAGGTATTTCTCTGAAATATCCATTCCCTCTGTAACAGTCTCCAAGAGCAGTTGGCTTCATGCAGGGCAAATACTTTGAGAGGAAATTCACATCCTCCTCAGAGCCAGAAAACTTGAGACCATAATCACAAAGTATTAGACCTTAGAAGACAAAATATAACATTTGATTGACCCAAAATGTATCATTGCTGTGTTATGTGTGTTGGTTCATACAGCTAGAGGTGCCTCTAAAAAATCATTTGATGGATGGATGGAAATGTGGGTTCAGTGGTGGAGTTGTAATGGTTTGTAAGATTGAGATGCTAGAGCTTCACAACATAAACCAGGAAAGGTAATCCGATGGCCCAGAGAAATAAGAAGTTTGTACAGGACTTACCATATGCAATTTGTATACCATCTCCCAACTGTGTTCCATGCAAAGATCCAGAACACACTCCTTTCAGTGAGAAAGGCATTAATGAGAGGAACACTTGTATCTTTAAAGATATCTGCTAATACTCCCCTCCATAGGCCTTCTATGAAGTAGAGATACCACACTGAAATGGGCCCTCATTGTCATCCCCCATTCCATGGGATGACAAGATCCTAGTATAGCAGAGGCCAGGCAGCATTTACCAACAAAGACGCGAGGGGAACAGCTATCTTCAATGGCAGCAAGCATTCAGACTGCCTTGTCCCATGGAAAAGTTGTCAGAGCAAAGTAGATAGGCAGCCTAATAGAGTATTGGTTTATATTTGTAACATAAAGCGCTAGGTAAAATCAGCTTAAATCTGACTGAGTTGTCACAGTCAACAGTCAGACCCTCTTAATAAATTTTCAACCCTGAATCACTTCACATACCTACAGTACCATTGTTGATGAAGAGTCTACATCACCTTTAGGACGTCTGCCTTAACCACAATACAAATTGTATACTCCCTTTGAAACTGGCTTCAAAGATTCATGGCCATCTACTAGAGTGATTATGCACTGATGAAAGAACACATGCAGATCCCCACGCTACCTTCATTAGCCATGGAATAAGGACCATGTTGTGGGAAGAGCCAGGTAGAAGCTATACAAACTTTTACTTTTTCAGAAACCCGGAAGCAATATTATATTAATGGTACTAATTGCAGGGGTTAATGTCATCATAAGAGAATTTAAGAGTAAAATAAGGGCTGAGAAGGTGGCTCAGTGGTAGAGCGCTTGCCTTGCATGCCTGAAGCCCTGGGTTTGATTCCTCAGCACCACATAAGCAGAAAAAAAAAGCTGGAAGTGGTGCTGTGGCTCAAGTGGTAGCGTGCAGGCCTTGAGCTGAAGAGCTGAGGGACAGCGCCCAGGCCCAGAGTTCAGGCCCCACGACCGGACCCAAAAAAAAAAAAAAAAAAGAGTAAGAATAATAGTATTTAGTATATTTCTACTTAACTCACCAATATGTCCAATGAAAATGACTTTGGACTATTATAAATTTAATCAGGGAATGATCTCAATTTTAACTGCTGTCTCAACTATACTATCTTTACTGGAACAACTCAACACAGAACTTGGTAGTTGGTATAGAATTATCAATTTGGTTAATGATATTTTCTCCATACCTCTTTGGAAAACAAACACAAGAAGTGTTCTGATAGAGTTAACAGAATACCTTCACAATGTTGCCTTAATGATCCATTAATAAATGTAGATTATCTC